TATAGTGAGCAGGGAACAGAGAGACACCTGCTCCCACTTGTTGCCACCAAAACCTCACCATGTAGCAAAATCACTGTCTTTGGGATTAGAAGTGCCGTGCTTACAGGGACAGTCTGTGTCCTAGAAGAAGCTGGATGAGGTAGAAGTTGAGTGTAGGCAAGCAGTCTTGTGCCCAGGGAGAATAAGGCTCAGCCTTCCAGCACCACTTCATGCTTGTGTCCTCTTCCAGGGGATGAAGTCCCCAAAATACAGGTCCCACACTGCCAGCACAATCATCCTGACAGGGCTGTTGGTGTTCAATGAGGGGAGAGAGAGATAGTGTCATCCACAGTTCCACAGCCCTTCCAGTCCCCATTTTCAAAAGGTTGTATAATACCGTCGTGCTGTTTTGCTGTTGACACAGTGAAATGTTGTTACCACAGCTACTGTCATGATATTACTGCTGTCACACTCTCTAGGATAAAACTCGCCCAGATCTGTGTGGACATGCTGCAAACACACCTCTGGCCTGCAGCGTAGACATAGCTTCAGGACCTGGATCTTCTCTCTATGCAGACACATGGTGTGCTGGAATTTCTAGGACATCTCCCATGTCCATAGCAGTTGGAAAAGCACCTGTATGATCAAAACAAAAATCTCCAAAACAGCTGCTCTTCATCTTCCACATGATTGTTTAAACCAAACATGGCCCAAGATATGTGCTGTGCTAAATCGATTCTGTTGTGAAATAAAGCTATTAACTTGGTTTTTATTTTGTTAAAAAGTGGTAAGTCTTTTTGTGGAATAATAAGCGTTACAGCTGGATAAAGTCTTTATTGCTAAAACATAAAACTACAGCAGTGCAAACTCTCACAGTGTTGGCTTTTCAGATGTTTGTGATTTCATATACAGCAGCTACTTATCTGACAGGGAAATTAAGATTAGTAACAATTTCCCTTTTACTCGGAAACCATCCTGATTCTGTTGTAATCATAATTTCTGTCATGTTTCTACTTAGGGTGAGGTAGAAATGTGGCAACTGGGAATTGTGTTATGTTATGCTCTAGGAGCAATTAAATCCAGTCTATCCCTACAAGACCAAAGGTGCAAAAATTGGAAAGAAAATAAATGGAAGGAAAGTCAGCAGGCTTTCACATGTGTTCAGTGTCCTCAGTCAGCCTGAGCCTTTGCTATCGCTGCCATTTCTGAGATTTGGACAAACTTTCATGGAACGGTAGGAACAGTAATGTTTTGCTACTTGTGTGATGAGCTACTTTTATCTTTGCTGTTAGAAACTCAGGTGAAATTAAAGCAAAGATCAAGAAAAGACAATTTTAAATTTTTTTTTCCTGGAGAAAGTCAAAGTTGTTTATCACAGCTGCCATCACTGTGTGATTAAAGCTGTGGTTATTTATACTATATGCTAACATAATGGACCCACAGACAACAGGCATGTACCAGGCCCTCGTTTCAAAGCTGTCTCTGGGGCCTTTTATTATTATATGCCTCTGCATCACAAGTTGCAATGCAAGAATATTAACATATCTTCTTCATTTTCAACGCAAAAGGGTGCTTTAGTGTCATCTTCCCTGCCAGGTTGGTCTGACGCATGAATCTCATCTCTAATCTGACTTGTGTCCACATACATAAATTGCTCGCTGGAATGAAATGAAATCTGGGTTAGCTGGCTGAGCAGAGCGGCTGGGAGGAGGTTGAAGCTTGAGCACTGCTGACAGCGGAGCTGCTGATGCGGGAGGAATACGGCACTCGGGTTACAGCAGCTCATCAGTTGCTAACCTCCCGCTTTGCTGGTCCAGTCGTTCTGCAACAGCAAAACATTATTTAGTGGTCTGATTGCTCTCAGCTTGCTCTTGCTGGGGATCTGTCAGTCAGACTGCAGGGTAGGATGTCTTGTGTTAGCTTTAAATCAGCTACCGAGAACAGGGTGCCGTGCAGGAATTCAGTGCAAGCTACAAAACCCACCCACAGCGGCACTGCACTGAGCTCTTGGTGGCTGAGGTCACACCCAGCTAACCAGCCATGCAAGGAAATTTCAGTGTACCAGCCCAGTGACAGTTGCAGCTTGTAGACTGCAGACTAAATGTATCTTAGACTGGCCTAAGAGGAATAACTTGAGATGCCTTTTGGATTGAGAACATGTCACAAGAGTGGCTCAGCCAGTGGCAGGCATAGCCAACATTCAGGCATCAACTCTTGTGGCAAGTTGGAGAGTGAGATGGCAGAGGTGAGATTTTAACAAAACATCAGCTCTTGGGACTGCACTGCTGAACATAGCAAACCAGCAAAATAAAATGAGTTGGTATACAAGCAAAAAAGCTCCATCCGTTTAAAATGCTTTAAAAAGTAGAACAGGTTAATGCAAAAGAGCAAAGTAAGACTGCAGGAAGAGCACAGTGGGTGTGTAGAGACTTCTCTGTAAGGCTGCAGAAAAGCTAAATGCAAAACGCTGCCAAAACACAGTACACATAGAGAGATCTTAAGAAACCAAAGATTCAGTAAGATAAAGAGAAAAATCCCAGTGCAGCTTCCTGGCTAGCTTCACCAGGTGATTCTGCCCTACAAAGGACAGTTCAATTTTATTTTTCTTAGATGATGTATATTTCTACTGATGATGTTTTGGGACAGCATGGATGAAGTTATCATGTGCTGTTTGCTTCTTGCCAACGCAGAAAAGTGCTGTAGTCCAGGATGTATAACCTGCCTGTGGTTAAGTTGATATGCTATGGAGTTGAGAAGGAAGTTTGAACCCTTAAAGGATTTTTCTTGTATGAAAAACTTCAGGCTGAAAAGTTAGGACATTACTGATCTAGCAGTTTTTTTGAGTGAAGAAAGTGCAAGCTGTCACAGTGACTGTAGTTATAACCACCCGATGCCTTGTCTGCTTACCGTCCCTGAAAGTAAGGTGCTAAGGAATTTATATGGGGTAGAGGCACTGATTTTCCGTTACTCTGCATGCGAAATTTCTGAAGCGATGTTGGTAAATCAGTACTTGGAGGTAAATTAATGCATTGCCTTCCCAATGTATCAATGCCAGTGCACTAGGGGACACTAGGTAGTGTTGCCTAACTGCTTTAGCAAAGAATATGTGCAGTCTTGCCTTTGATCATAGATGGTCAGGATGAGTCCCTTCTCTGTGCCAGGCCAGCACCAGAGCGTACCCTCCACTGGCCTCTCACCTGCACCCTGGTTTTGTGGACAGGATACTCAAATCTGCAGCCCAGAAGGGAGCAGCGATGTATTCTGGTCCAGCCCAAACCAAGAGCCCTCTGGCCGTATTCAGGCAGTGCTTCCACTTACATGCTGCTTTGAGAAATACACGTCTAAATGAAGGTGGTGTGTGACTTGCTGTGATGCTTTGGGGTGCTGGTGGGTGAAAAGCTGGACAGGAGCCAGCCATGTGCGCTCACAGCCCAGAAGCCAACCGTGTCCTGGGCTGCCCCCAAAGCGGCGTGGCCAGCAGGGCCAGGGAGGGGGTTCTGCCCCTCTGCCCCGCTCTGGGGAGACCCCCCTGCAGGGCTGCGTCCAGCTCTGGAGCCCTCGGCACAGGAGAGACACGGACCTGCTGGAGCGGGGCCAGAGGAGGCCCCAGCAACGCTCCGAGGGCTGGAACAGCTCTGCTGGGAGGACAGGCTGGGAGAGCTGGGGGGGCTCAGCCTGGGGCAGAGAAGGCTCTGGGGAGACCTTCCTGCAGCTGCCAGGGCTTAAAGGGGGCTTGTGAGAAAGATGGGGACAGACTTTTAAGCAGGGTCTTTAGCTATAAGAGAAGGCATAATGGTTTTAAACTAAAAGAGGGTAGATTTAGACTAGATATAAGGAAGAAATTTTTTACGACGAGGGTGGTGATGCAGGGGGGTTGGCCTAGGTGACCTTTAAAGGTCCCTTCCAACCCAAACTATTCTGTGATTCTGTGATGTGCCATATCTGTTTCATTAAAGAGGGCAATATTTACTGTTGTTTGTGATCTTTCTGGTTTCACCTCAGTCGAAGCATCCATTGAGTTCTTCCTAATTTACACTAGAAGAAATAATTTTATAATTGGGCTCTATGTATTTACTTCAGTATTTTTTTCAAGACTATATGCTATGAAGTATCTTTCAGACCCTCCCCCCCAGCAAAATGTTAAACCCTAAATGTACTATTTATCAGTTGTGCTATTTATATTCTGAACGTCACTTAATGTAGCCAACAGAGAAGCATAGATACGTTCTGTATTGATCGTATTTTCTTGCTTTACGGCAGTGGTGTAGTATGAGGATCACAGAATTCAGAAAGAGGTATATTTCTAATCAGCTTTTTGATGGGATGTAGTTTTAATGAAAGATGTCTTTTAACCAACCCATTCTATACAAAGAACAGCTGCATTCCTTTCAGCAAGGAATATGTTTGTTGCTTGATTGAGAGCTAGTCTAAAAAGAAAGAAAAATATTGTGTTAGTTTATTTCTTCTTTAAGCTGCCTGAAAAAGCACTGGAATATTTCTTTGCATTTAACAATAACTTTTTATTACTTTAAAATTTCAAATGTTCTGTGCTCTGGAAATTCTGTCTATGACTGAGAACAGCTGTGTGAATATCATCATAGATGATTAACTTTAAAAGGGAGTTGTTTTGATGTAGACCATTTAATTGTGATTCTGAAGCCAAGCACCTATTTGACTAAGATCCTAGTGAAGAAAAGTACCTACTGGAAACATACGATGATATCCTGCTCCTTTAGATGTGGCCAAGGCTGCTCTGAGCTCAAATGACTGCATTGAAGAATCAGAGGTACTCACCATCAGTAGTTAGAATGACTGTGTGTAGAACCACTCCAAAAGGAAGAGCAGAGAGAGAGAAATGACACTATTAACAACTCATTTTTGTCTTCTTTAGGTTACTGGACCAGGCAATTTTTTATCTTCCTATTGTCCTGATGGATTTCAATGAGCTAGGGATGAGAAAGGCTCAAAATGCATTGTGGATCTAACTTTTATATGTGTTATTTGCTTGTTTGTTTAACTAGGGACAGGGAGCCCTGTCTGAGAGACTAAGGAGCTTTAGCATGCAGGATCTCTCGACGATTCGTGGAGACAGCAGCAGCACTGTTCCTCCTTCAGTCACTGTACGAACAAGTAGCAAACAGAGCCAGCCAAAAACATCCAGAAGTGCATCGGAAGGCACTGGTGGCTCAGGTAAGTGCCAGCATTATTTTCAGTGTTGTGTTGTCTGGAATATCACACAGTTGAAGTCAGTCATGCAGTTGGCAGGAATATATAGCAACAGACATTGCAGGCAGCACATACCAGAATTCACAGGACACAGACCTGCTGTTGAGTCTCTTGGCACTCAAGAGAGAAAACAGTATCATCGTTTGATGGTTACTATTCCTGGCTGGTAGCAAGGATGGGACTTGAGGGTGCAAAGGAGCCAGCGTCAGTCCTTGCAACTTGAGATGAAGAGTTAGGCTCGGGGCTGCAGGCTGTGGTGGGTTTTCAATGAGAGGGGCTAATGGAGTTGCAAAAAGGAGGGGAATAAGAATGCACAGTAGTGGGCAAGGGTCGTTATTATCATCAAAGCCCCCATATGGTGATACAGCCTCTCTCTCTTATGCCATCTAAACATAAATGTGAGTTCTAATGGTTATCTGGTTTGAATTAGGCCCACTTGTGCTTCTTCTAAACTGTACAGTAGCTATTACAACACTTGATAGTTGTAGTTCTAGAACCTTATCACTGATGAAGCCTACTGAGAAATAAAACCCATATAAAGCACTCCTAGAAGCAGAGACCAAGATCTGACGGGTCTTTACGATATCAAGGATAACTGCATAAGCACTGTTATGGAAAACAAGTCTCTCTTGAAGGGCAATGGTTTGCTTTCAAATTCTGAAAGAACAAAGAATAGATCTTGTCATGGGAATAAGATCCATTCCCAAGGATTTAGTTACAAAAATTTATTTCAAGCTTGGTTAAAGAAATCTTTGGGAGCCCACATCCAAAACATTTAATTGGAGATAGCTTTACAGAGTAGATCTCAAGAACTGGGACATGTAGAGTTATCCCAAACAGGGGGTTCCTTCCAGATGGCTTCTGGGATTCCCAAACACCACCAAAGATCACGCAACTTGACTGCTGTGATGAGAAGCCACAGAAAGTTGCACTTGGTAGCTTGTGAAACATATGCTGGCAAGTTTGAAATTTAGCAGTTTCATCTTGTATTGAGGTCTATGCAAACATACACAGTGCTTCAAGCCTGTGTAGACTGCTACCCCTTCTAGCTGGCTCTAGTTTTGGAATGTTTTAGAAATGTCTTGTCTCATTCTTCTTAAAGAGTATCCTTCAAGCCCTTTACAAATTCTCACAATTATAGCTCACAGACTTCTCTGTTTATTTTTTTTTTAATATCATCTGTTGAAAAAATTCTCTTTACAGGTAAACTGAAATAGCTAATGTTGGTGCACAGTGGTTTTATTCTGATGTTTATGTAAGGTCTTGTATATACTTCTCTTGAAGTAATCAATCTGAAAGTAAAGTGCTGGCACACAGAATGTAACAGTCTTAAAAAAAAAAAATAGACCAAAATAACAAATGGCACAAATAAAGCATAATTTAGCTATTTTAATTCCATGTTGTGTAGAGCAGCTCACCTGGCCACAAACCCCTGTCTTAACACAGAGAAGTTTCTGATTTTGATCTGGTTTTATACCAATACTGTACAAGGATCTCTCAAAATGAATCTTTGGAAAATTGAATTGTTCATAAACTTTTCAAAGTGAGCCTAGTGTTTATCAGAAATTTTTGTATCCAAGTAATTTGAGATTTTGTTTTAATTTTTCTTTTAATGGAAACAACACAAATTTGCAAAATCTTCCAAGACCCTTATCTGTCCCATCTCACTTAGTGATTTCATGGAGGTTCCCCTTCTCCATCTGCAGGCAATACGGAGAGGCCCCTCCAGAGGGTGATTTCACTCACAGGTGGTGGCATCATGCTGCGTGGAAGACTACAGCCTCAGTTTTACTCTCACTTTTAATCAGATTAAGTGAAATATGTGGTCCTGGTCTCTCTGGTCCGTGGGCACAATTATGTAGTCAGAATGTCTAGAGGGGCGAATTGATCGGGGTCATAACTATCGTGTGTGTGTGTGTATATGGAAGAGTGTGACCTGTCAGCCAGACTGTATCACATCTTGAGGGCCATATTCGGGGTGAGAGAACGCTGCTCGAGGCACACCAAGCCCAGACATGGTTCCATCACTCCACCTTCCATATTTGTTTAGTTGCAATGTTGCACATAAGCAATGGGCAGACAGAATTGCCTACTAGTATGCTGTATATACGTGTAGTATATACATATATGAGTATGTACACGAGCAGCCACTACAGAACAGCTGACACACAGCTTTTTCCTCTCCCAAGACCCTCAGATAACACATGTCCATGTCAGTGGTACTCACTGTCTCACAGAAACGTTAGACTTCTCTTTATATTCCTGCTTTAGAGATAATGGGACTTAGCCGGTCTGACATCAGAGAGTCAGCAAAAATACCCAGACTGTCTGCTTGGCGTGAAGATGACTCAGCTGAAGGCCTCACCTTTCTTGTAACCAGACAGCCTGTTAGAAAGCCTGACAGCAGTAGCTGGGATATACAAAATGACTTTAAGAACATTATTAGAGAGCCTGGCTGGGGCTGCAAACATTATACCGTTGGTCAGAGTAGAAATCTTGCTTTATAGAGACTCTTAGGGAAGGCTTGAAGGAACAGGTTGTGTGTCCAGAAGCAGCAGCGTGCTGGTTAGGAGGCAAGACTGTGAGTTAGGACACATGAGTTCACACCCCGCTTTACTGCAAAATATGGGTATGACCTGGAGTGTACTTTTGTTCCTCAGTGTGTCTTGTAAAGCGGAACAAATTGTACTTCTCATGTCCAGGCCCTGAAAGCCGTATGTGGTAAAAGATGGTTTTGTATTTTAAGGTCAATACCTCAGAAGATTTCTTATGTGGCTTTCCTGTACACCTTATTTCAGTGATTATAACATGTAAAACATCTGATCAGTGGAAAAGTCCTGTCTATGGATTGATCCCAATTTTGCAAGAAGGTTTCTCTGTTTCTAGTAACAGCGCTCTATCTTGCCATTATGCCAACCTATTACGGTCCTATGCAAGTGCAGCTTTCAAATTTACAACTGATAGTAACTGTGGCAGGGACAGGAACCTGAAGTGTTATGTTGACTGGATGTGTTGAGGAGTGCTGCTGCACATGGGGTTTGCCTGAGGAAGGGGGCATTGCTAGGCCACAGCCAACCGCACAGGTGAAAAGCCAAGTACTGCTGTAGCAGCTGCGACCCTTTTTGCTTTGGGACTGGCATCCCCATGCCTGGGAGTGTGTGTGAGCATCACTCAGTCCTAAGGGGGTCATAGTCTTTGATGAGGGAATACATACACAAATTGCCTATGGGAGTGCTTCTATAGCTCCCTTTATTTCTCTCAGATGGTGGTCAGGGATGCACAAAGGCTGAAGAATGCGTTTTCCATCTACCACAGGATCTTAATTTCTCAACAGGAGAGACAGCCGTGTCAAAGAGAGGATAGTAGCCTTGTGATAACGCGATAACCTCTCATCTGATCGGGCACTGCTGTTCTTAATTTCTTGAGTGTTCACTTTTATATTCACATGCCCGTATTTTTTCTTGTTAGTTAAATGAGCTTAAGGGGACTTGTGGGACCTACATTAACTTAGTGTTTGATCCAGAGTAAAAGTACTCTCTCTTACCATTTTTGAGGGATTATTTTTACCTCTGACCGATTTGCTGATCCACTTTATTGGGAGCCTCCAAAATAACTGTTTGGGACACCTTTGGGGAAGTATGTTATGAGATCAAGTGGCCAGGAACTAGAAGCTTCTCCAGCCAGCTTTGCTACTGAACAAATGGTGCATGGAAGCACACCCTTGCAGTAAGACAAAGACAAGAAATGGCGCTTTAAGTCGAGGTAATGGAGCTCAGATGTGTCCCATTCCCTGAGCAATGGAAACACAGCCAGATCTGGTGTGGAATTTCATGTTGCTCAGTTCCAATCCTGTTGTTTGACTGTCTTTAAGGGCAGATACAATATCTGAAAGTAAGTGATTTGGAAAGGCAGGGGAGTGGAGAGAGGTCTATTGTCTTCCCTGCACAGATGAGACTGCTGAAACTCATGTTTGTTGGTACGAACCTCCCCACTCCCGCTGTGAGCTCCAGGAGTGATTCAGGTTCTGGTTCCGCGTCTCTCGGGCATGCTTCCAAGTCCACTGAACCCCGTAGAAAGACTCTCCTGACATCAGTGGCCTTTGACTCTGGTCAGAAGTTGGCTGCAGGACCACGCGGTACTCAGGCTACGTTAAATAACTGCTCAGCTTGTTTAATTTCCATTGTTGATATTTTTATAATATGATTGATGCTGGTTAGATGGATTTGTGGCTCTCTGAATCCCCTCTTGACACTAAGCACTGTGTGAAGAGTTTGGCGTTTAGTTAGTAACGACCACAAGCAGACACAGCAAAGGTTTGCTTTTGCCTGCGGAAGAGTGTCTTATGAGGCCAAGAAATAAAATATGCAACAGTTGCCTCTGAGACAAGGAGAATTACTCCTTCTTTTTCTCTGCCTTTTGCTGCTTTTTTTTTTTGCCCTCTACTTTTTGCTGTCTTCGCTGCCTTTCGATGGTGCCCGCTATACTCCGGCAGTCTGGCTCATGCGGATGGCCATTCCACAGGAGCGGGACTGCTCAGTGTATAGCGGGCTCCAGGTGCTCCGGGTGTATTCACACCCATCCCACAGAAAGACCCTCCTCACACTCAGTCAAAAGCCACATGCAGATGACATGGAAGGGCAAAGGCTGCTTTTGGCATGATATTTGTGTGGCAGCCGACCCCACACACAGCACATTACATAGGCATCACCTCAGTGAAGCACGTGCACACCTTCCTTTGACACACACTGAGGAAACGTGATGATTGCCCTTCCTCCATGTAGCAGGCCTACAACCTGTCCTCTTTGTCTGATCTTTCGCTTTGCTCTTAGTTCAGCATTTCTTGATTTAGTGTCCCTGGCACGCCTGTGATATTTTAGCTTTGATGCCTGTTCCAGTCTGTGCTTCTTCCACAAGCAGAACTGCCCCTTTCCTTTGGGAACTGTAAATGTCATGTGGCTACTCATCATTATGGAAAACTGGAAGCTTCAGAACAACATTTCCAAATATTTTTCAAGGCAATCCTGTTGTTCTGGCAAATATCAGTAACAATTCACATACAGCTGTGTCTATATTAAAAATGGAGGGCTTTTGCACTTCCTAACCTTACAGTATTGCCTTAAAAGCATCCTGGACATTGCAGATAAAACTTGTTCCCTTGTGATGGCTGGTGAGTGCCAGGTGTGACTTGAGGAGTCGAATATTGGCCACTGTGTCACATCACTCAATCCCGTAGCTGATGCAAACACGTCTCACGGTTGCTGCTGTCAGCAGAAACCTCCGGCGTGGGCTGGGCACTGGAGGCCAGCCTTGCTTTTGGGTGAGTCAATGGGACATACCTCAGTGGCAGGAGATTTGCGTCGCATTACGGGACCATCAGTGTCCAGAGCTGACGCTGCCTGGGCCAGAGGATCACACACTGCAGAGCCACCCTCTGTATTGCCCAGACCAAGTGCCCTTTCTGCTTAAGCTTACCCCAGGCAGAGATCGTTCTCATCTGGAATGATTTCAAAGCAGAAATATGCAGTGTTCTCTCTGATACTCGCCACTCCTCTGTGCAGGACAGAGTCAAGGCTATTTCTTGGTTTTGCGCTTCAGCACTGAAGGCTTTGCAGGGCAGAACAAAGGTGGGGGAATATCAGCATTCAGGATATGTTGGGATAGTTCAGTCCACACCAACCAGAAAAACTCCAGAAAGCTGTGTGAGGACCACTCGTATGTATATGTTATATGAGCTCTCAGAGAATAAACCTTCATAAAACTGTGATCAGCTACCTTCTGTGTAAAATCAGGGACTAAATCCACAGCAGATCTCTTGAGGTTGGCTGAGAATCATCTCTTTTATTCAAAGGCCATAGTTTCACAGCAGCATCCAGCCAGTGTGAGCCAGCACTCCCGTTGAAAGGGTGTGACCCAGCTGCTTGCTTCTGCCCCACACCATCCTTTCACTTGGATATGTTTAAATCTTATTTATATATGCTGACCCCAGTCAGGGAGCTGGTTCAAGTTAAATGCAGTTCCTTGCTTCCAGGTTGCTCTTGACCTGGGTCAGATCCTTAAGCCAGTAGAGAGCAGCAGCACAGACATCAGCAACAGGACAAGGAAGGTGGAGGCCAGAGTGTGAGGGGCAATGGGACATCTGCTTTCAGCAGCAGTACTTGTTTATGCTTGCTTAAAATGACTGTGAAACTATGGAATAACTTTCAGTGTCTACAGTGCTGGATAATTGTGACCAAAGAAATCACACAGACCTCAAACTTTTTTTTTTCTCCAAAAGCTTTTTTTATCTGGAGTCATTGATATGAGATTTGTGAGGATTACATTGGAAGGCTCAAACTGGAAATTATTTCTAGGCTGTTTCCTGGAATACAAGCTGTCCACAAGATGAAGCTGTAAAGGTTGCACTTCTATGAACAGCTGGGAATCACCTGCATTTGCACTGAAGGGTGCAATGCAATTCCCTTGGTTGCTTTAATTTTTGCAGCAATTCCACCAAAATATAGTACCTGCAGGAGTCCTCAGCACCTTCCTGATTTAGGAAGATCAGGGATCTGTGGACAGCTTTCCTTCAGAAGCTGTGTGAATGTCTGCACCAGTGCTTGTCGAAGCCTAAATCTACCGGAAAAAAAAATCCAAGCATGTAGCAATAGAAGTGCCAGTATTGCACCCTGTGTTTATTATCATACAGCCTTTTGCACTGTGCTGCCCATTGCTTATCCGTGCTCCCAGGCCCCTCTCGTCAGGAGTTATTTCTGTTTAATGATCTGAGAACAGAGCCAGGGAGCTGTACGTAATTCCAGCCTTAACACCCATTAGGCACAGAGCCTGGGGTGAGGCACGTTCCTGGGTCCGTGCTCTGTGCTGGTGAACAGAGACGATCATCTCTTAATGCACATGGGAGCTGCAAAGTCCATCTCAAAATGATGCCAAGTGTTTTCTGAGAGATAGCTTAACCTGATGAGTTCCTAACGCTCAGGTCCTCTTTCAGTGTGCACGTGTTGCTCGGTATGCCGACTCCTCAGAGGTGAGTGCTGGATTTCCCATGCATCCCTTTTGGGCATGGCTGCGTTCCCCAGCCTGGCTTGCTCCTGCTGCTCTTACTCATTGGGTTTCCTAACACCATATGATGAAACCAGGGGAAGGCCAGGCTACGAGTGAGTTTGTGAGCTGTGTGTGTGCTGATGGCAAGTACTGTGGTGCTTCTCACCTTACTGACCTGTGTTACCCAAGGCTGGGGAGTGTTTCTGTGGAGAAAAACTTCAGTCCTTTCTGTCCTAGAAGATGTACCACTGTTCTTGCTGCACCGGTGTAACTCCTCTGCCCTCTATCCCCCAGTGCTGGTGTAAAACCGCAGGGAAACCAGCAAGAGCAAACCTTCCTCAATCCAGCCCTGTTTTGCTCCATTCCCTGGGGATTTGCATGTGTTTCTCTGTTGCTGGAGAGGACACTTGTGTTTGGGATGAGCAGGGTAAATAGCAAAGCCCAATAGCAGACCCTGCTACAATAGAATAGGGTTGAGCAGACTCTTCCTGCTTCACTCAGTGCTACAGCCATTTTTGAAAAATGTCCCCACTGTCCCTAGCATTGCTTGTGTTTACAAACTTAGGAGTGTGGTGAACGGTTTAGCTGCCAGTGGTCTTTTCAATGCTGTCTGTTAGCTTGGTTGCTAAGAGCTGAGCTGTATCACTTCTGCATTTTGTCCCAGTGGCAGCTGAAAGGAGGGGGAGGCCTCTGGTTTGGGCATGCCAGAGGATGGGGCTGCCAAGCAGCTTGTCTGGGGAGAAGGAAATCCAGACTGGCAGCATCTCATGTTGGTGGAAGCAAAAGACCTTAGTAACTCCTTTACTTCTCATCTCATGTGCTTTTACTTTATTTTGCACACTGTAATCGATCTGGGGATGGCAGCAGAGCAACTGAAGGATCACAGTGCTGCCACTGTGCTGCAGCCATCACTGCTGGCTGTGTCACTTCCAGAGTACCAGGCTGTGCGCTCCCACTGCCTTGCACCTGATGTGCCCTGCAGCCCTGTGCAGCATTAGTGCCTGGAAGCTGGTGATCCCAGCCTGACAGTGTCTCCTTGCACACTGTGTAGATGGCAAACCAATCCTCATTTTTGGTCTGGCACCCTCCCTGTTGTCCTTTTCTGGTTCTTTGCGCTAGCGCATTTGGGGTGAGTGTGCCACTGTACAGGAGAAGAAAGCCTGTTTAAGGTGGTATCTGTTTAAGCAATCATGAAACACTTGTATTCCCGTTGCAATTTATTAGCACCCTCCTAATTTTAGCCTAAACCAATTTTATGGATTTGACTTCAAAGTGTTCTTTATAAAAAGAATCACTGAATCCTTAAGTACTTAATTGTCATGAGTTAATCTTGGCAATGTCATTTAATGACACTAAGCAGTAATGAGTCCAATATGCTTACAAATTGGGCCCAAAGTTGTGTTGATCTGGTTTAAATTGCATGCCCTGTCTTTCAGATTGGCTTGTCTTACTATTTTTTCCCCCCTGACATAATCCAGTCCCTTGGACCATGTCAATAGGGATATGCTGAGGCAGTATCTCATAGAGGGTTCATTCTGTCTCCACAGGCTGCCCTTTCTCTGTCTCCAAGGCAATAGATGCATTAATGCACTCTCAGACAACAGCCTGCCATTTAAAATGCTCCTTTGTAAGTGCAGCTTGGGGAGCTGACTACGTAATGTGAACACATTTTCTCAATGCCACAAAAAGCAGGGGGAAGAAAGCAGCTAAGTTTGTTTAGCTAGGACTAAGTTGTCCTCAACTATTGGCATTCTTCTTACCTTGGTGCAAACTTTTGTGTAGCCAGTTTCAGAGTACAATCGTTAATAGCACTAATTTCCAAAGAGCTTATAATCTAAATGGGCAGATAGTCGAACCTTACCTCAAGCAGGAGTATTAAAGGCTGTTTTAGAGCCGTGATGCAGCCTTTTTGGCAGGAGCAGTTGCCTTAATGCCTTTGAAGATGAAAATTGTTTTGCTTGCTGACTCATAGAAACCTCTGCAGCTCTTAGGAGAGCACAGGCTGGTGGGAGCAAAAGTCTACCCATCCTGCTCCCTAGATAATATCCTGAGAGAAGCACTGGACAAGGTAAAAACAGTTGGGGCCAAAACATGGTGGTTTCAGGAGGATATGGCCTGCAGGTGCCATGGGAGCGTGCATTTATGCAGGCTAGGCTGAGTGCAGTGTGAACTCCCCTTGTACTGGTGCATCACTGTCAGCGGTGATGGTCTCCTCTGCCACTGAAGCCATTTGCCACACAGAAGAGCTTTCTCTTGCCCAGTTGGCTCACTCCAGCTGGCCTCATGGTCTGCGCATGACGAAGCGTTGACACAATTCAGGACATTCATCCTCCTTTGCTCTGGGCAGCTTCACTAAATGGAAGCGTGGTCCACTATATACACTCCAGTGTGTCTTCTTGACAGCTTCTGTGCCAGCTCTTCTTGCTCTTCTTCAATGGCAGGCCTTTGCTGGCAAAACTCCTTCCAAGTCTTCACACAAGTTTCTGATTTATCTCTGCTGTGTTCACGGCCTGTGGAAAGTCAGGCTGCAGCATTAAGGAACAACGGTACAATTGTGTAAGAGCTCTTAAGATTTCTTCTTCCTTCAGGAAGGACGGAGTGAAAATCTCCAAGGATATCTGTTTGTCTTTTGGCAGTGCCTGGTAAATGCTTAAACGCTGGTCAATATTAAGCAATCTTGCTTGGAACTGGCATTTAAGAAGTAACAAATGTTATGTTCAGTGGTATTCTGTCAACTAACATCTCATAGGTGCTGTTGCAAAGACCTGTGGCACGGCTGAGAGGGAGGAACAATTTTAATCCTTGTAGATGATAAATATATCTATCAGATAGTGAATAATCGGCTGTATGTGAGGAGAACTGTTGCGGCTGCATGTATTTGAAGGGGTATTTAATACTAAAATGCGGATTAGGAGCCTTAGGAAGTGTAAGAAACGTGCAAGGATGTTAGTGATGAATGGGACTGGTTTTTGAGTGTGCACCACTGGGTTGTGCTCCATCGTGGTGACTGATACAGTAATGTACACCTGAAAAAGTACCGCTCAGCAGTGACTGATGGTCAGCCTAGCCAACCTGTTCAGTCAGCCATCCACAAGGTGTTGCAGCATAAAGCCAGCCCCGGGAGTTTTTCCAATAAAATAATGTTGGATCTCTTCCTACATGTGGTTGTCACCCTGAAGACAAGGTGACAGATTACACACACTCTGCAGTACAGCTCAGCGAGGACCTCAATGGGACATTCACTTAATTGTGTTTTAAACAAATCACTGTACTGGTATATTAGATGTATCCAACCCCTTCTTTGTGGTATGCTACAAATTACACATGAGATTGTTACAGTGGAAAGTACTTTTAAAAAACTAACTGACTTTGCATCAAGGAGGCTGTTCATATAACTCTGAACTAGGTCAGTTAAATGGTGTAAGTGGTTTCATTTTTGTTCTTAGCCAGTTTTGCTTCCAGCTCTTGTGCTGGGGATTTTTTTTTAACCTTTCTCTCACTGAACTTAAAGAAAAAACAACAACTTTCCATGGCTCTAGACATTTTGTTCCTTAAAACGTCCCTTTACTAAATGTTGAATCAAATTTTTACAGGTATGATTTGCATCACTTTGCAACAGTACCTCTGAATGGCAATTTTGGAGTTTCTCTGGGTATTTAAAAATACTTTCATAATGATTTTTGCTATTTCAGGGAAGGAAAATTTTTCATAGAAAATCAGTAGGTCCTTTAAGTACCTTTGCATTTTACCTACAGAAAGTTAAAACATTAATTGTTGTTTAATAAACTCCAGTTGAACCACAGAAAATATGAAAGCAAAGATGAGGATTGCTGTGCTATGAAACAATATTCCTTCCCCCTTTACACCCAAATTTTTCCCTAACAGTTTCTTCTTTCCTTTTCTCTATGTAAATATTATGGGACTCTGATGTAAGTGTTACAGATTGCATGAGTTTTCATCTGAGGTGTTTGGAATAGACTAGCACTTAACAACTTAATCATTTGTGGGATGTGTTTTTATTAACAGATGACTTTGTTAATGTGATTAGACTTGTTTGCTTTGGTTGCGCTTGACTTCAGCTTTGGAAAGGATGCCTGCCTCTGTTTTGTGGCTCCTGGGCAGTGTGTGCTGGTGGAGTTGGCTGCTCCTAACTTCTTGGTTTGGCAATGAAAACTGTTGGGGAAGTACATGACTTGGGTCAGTGTCTTTTGGAAATGATGGCAAAATTATCTTTGTTGCAGGGAAAAGAAGCTGATAGCCATCGTATAATAAATATCTGTTCTCTTACTCTTACTAAGTGGTGTGGCAACCTCTTCATAACTCCAGGAGTTATCTCCTGGAAAGGCTTAGCTTTGGAATGACTTTATCTTCCATTACAATAATACAATACCTTTCTCCTGGCTTGTGTAGTCTGTGACTGTGGTTTATCCCATTGCTCCTGAGGAATTACAGTCATGGGAGGAAGAAGTATTGTGCTCAGCAAAATAAGAGGGGGGTCCAACTTCTCTCAAATGTATCAGGGTGCTGATTCCCCCTATAACTGTATAAGTGTCCAAATTTTTCAGAGGATCTAGGTCAAAGTCATTTGCTCATCTGTAGTTAGAGTGGGCCAGGTCCTGATCTCTGTTGTACTCATGAAAATCCATAGGATTTACCCCAGATTTACACAGCAGCATAGACCAGAGCCTGAATCAAAGCAATTGCTGAAAAAAACTGCATGCTACTGGATCCCATTTGTTGATGTAGGAAGAGTTTTGCAAGTAAGATTTCTTAACCCTTGTAGAATCACAGAGATTAAAAATTATGACGGTCTGGCTCTACATTCCCTTGTCTGTGCTGGGTTGTTCCCTGTTGTGTATTTAATAGCTTACATCCCAACTCTGCAGAGCACTCAACTGTCTAATCTGGAATATGCCCAGCTTCAGGGCTTCCCATGCAATGTGCTGGTTATATCCATTCCCTTAGAAGGAATTAGGATAGGATGATAGGAACTGGAATTAAGCAGTCCATTTCCTTTGTCTGTTTGCAGTCAGATTCTGTCTTGCCTTAGTGAATGTAATCTGGCCTGGATACTGAAAAAGGTGTTTGCAAGAAGCAGCAACAGCTTTTGCCCTGGCACACCAGTGGATTTCCTGTTTCTGCAGTGATTCTGCCCCTCCACACAAAGGTGTGAAGCCATAAAGGTAACAGGTGGAGACACCTGAAACTCAGCCTGCTCTGAGATGGGGAGTGAGACTCTCCCAAAGACAAGAGAGCTCAGGGAGATGTCTGGCATATGGTCCGTGCTTTTACAGAGCCACCTCCTGGCTGTGACACGGTCCCTGGGGATATCAACTGCTCCCCTGGAGCAGCCCACGCTGCTGGCTCTGCCACTTTGGGGACATCTGATAGTTGCCTGAGGATGGCTCTTAGAAACACACAGGAGGTCACCTGAGGCCAAGCGCTGTCCTTAAGAAGCCTGTGCCAGCCCTGACTGTGTTTTGCTGCTCAGGCTGCCCCTTGTCCAGAAACAAACCTTGGTGTCCCAGGACCCCTCCATTCACTTTAAGTATCCATCTCCTTTCTCACTAATTCCTTACATGTGTGCTTATTATTGTGGTTAATATCTTACCTTATATTTTCTCCTGAAGAGGGCTCACTCTCTTGGTGTAGGAAAGTAAGTTTTTTTATCCTGTCATCGGTCTATTCACAAAAAAAACCCCCAAACCTCAGAGTTGTCACTACGGAGCAGCAGCCTTTCAGAGTTGAGTTGCCTCCAGTCCCACAAGAGCATAATGCTTCCACAAACATGGGACAAATCCTGGCACCCCAGATCAATGTGAGGTTGGGATTGCCCACCATCCAGATGTCCTCCCTGAGGCAGGATGGGCAGGGAATCCTCCCTTCTTGCCCTGGGTCTTAAAAAAAGGGCCCTGTGTATTCAAGGTCTGCTCTTGTCAATGGGCAGAAAAGTAGTGGAAAGGCCTGGCATAGATCCGCTTCCTCCCTTTTCCAGTTCAGTGAAGCTGAAACAAAACTTGTTCTCATTAGCCTGGTTTTTGTGCCTCATTCACAATGAGATGAGCCAGGGGAGAAGACCTCAACCCAACTTCCAGTGGACTTTACCTCTCTGCTGCAGGGGTCAAAGCAGTATGTGCTGGCTTGAAGGCTGAGCTCTCCTCCGGATCCTCACGGAAGCAGCTCCAGGACATGGATGTGATGCTCAGGCTGATGGGGAGAACAGAAGAGCCTGCAGGAGGCTGTGCCTCTGCTGTGCCTGTTGTGGAGACGGGCGACGGGGGTGGCAGAGCTGCCTGGATATCATTTTGTCCCAGCACCCAATTCAAGAGAGAGAATAATATCGGAGAAAGCAACGCACAATAGAAAACCATGGGATTCCCAGGAGTGTTATCAGGGCTGGCAGTTCCTTCTGTCTCCTTTTGCAGTGGAGCAGCTGGCTGTAGGAGAAGCGGACCATAATCTTGTATGCTGTCAGCTTCAGCAGCCAGTGTCTCTGCAGTCTGGTCACTGAATGTTCTAATTCTGGTTCTCCAACATCCCTCTGTCCTGTCCACTTTGAAGTCCTCTTTTTCCTGAGGAAAGCCATTGTCTCCTCACAGCAGCACATGGCTGGGGATATGATGTTGGGCCAGCCTGCAGTCCGCATCTGAGGGACGTCTGGGGAAGAGGGCAGCGGGGAGCAGTCATGGTGTTGGGGGCAGTACTTAGCCTCCAGGCTGCAGATTTGGGCATGTTTGGTTCAACTTTGCTCAAGGTCTGAACAAACAGCATCAAAACCAAACCTGTCTTCCATTTTCCATTGGCTTAGAGAGGCACAAGGACCAGCTCCCACATCCAAGATGACCTAAGCTAGGCTCCTCCTGAATATCTCACTTCCCAAGTGGAAGAATACAATAGTCATTAAAATAAAATGTTCCTGAACTGATTTGCCATGTGGTCTAGAGAACATTTAATTCTTCCCACAGTGCAGGCTTAACACCACAGTCATATATAGAAAAAACACAATTCAGCGTTATTCCAGGCCTCTGCAACGTGACTATCAGCATTTTCAGTACATGGGAAAAAGTCGACTTCCAGCTCTTCCTGGAAACCTGGGATGGTGTCTTTTAGCCTGCCCATGCAAATGGTGATAAAGGGGTAGAAACACAGGGTCAGTGGCCAGAGGATGGTGTACATGGCTCTCTTGGACAGCAGATGCATCCTGTGGGCTGAACACAGGGGCTGAGAGTGTTTGGCTGATGACTTGAATTTGGCACTGGAGAGAGCCCCAATGACCTGCTCGTGACTTGTGGTGTTGCTGTAGCCAGATCACTTCCCCGTTGTCTCTGTGATCCAACTGAAAGAGCTGTTGGAGAATTCAGTTCTTTTGTGCTTTTAAGGTTCTAAATAGATTAATAAATATTAGACTTCTAAGTCTAATTAGACTCTTTGGTTTTAGTTTTTGGGTTTTAGTCTTTGGTCCAGCAGAGCCTTACAGTCAGGCTGGGACAAGAAGCACAGAGCATTATTTCTGTGTATGTTCATACAACAGTCAAAGTATAGAGCCAATAATTGTGGTTAATGCCATCTAAACAGCACACACTTCCATGCCTGACATTTTTCAGAATGAAAAAAGCCTAACTATCTGTCAAACAAAGAAAGCCCCAGCCCTGCTGTTAAGAAACTGTGGAGATGCAGAAACCTTGGTCATGCTGGGTGTTCTCTTATGTACCTCTTGCTTTGGACTGTCCGTTAAAAATACCATCTTGCTTCCCTGCCTGGATTTAAGGCAGAAAATTGTGTTGTACAAGACCAGTCCCACAAAGGTCTTGCCATAAGTTGCAAAAATAAGAACCACCAAGCAGTTGTTAGTGGTCTGTAGTCATTGGGCCATAATCTGCCTTCAGATCCATCAGTGGAGTTAATGCTCCATAAGATTTACTCCAGAGTGACAGAAGAGAGGCTTTTCCTGTCTCTGGTCTTGCAGCAACACTCCCACTGCTGAGGGTCCATTCAATGCCTATTGAAGCTTTTGGTTAACTTCAGTGGATCTTAGGCTGGGTTCTTGGCTTGAGCTCTCTCAGCTTCAAGTCAATTAGTGCTGCTGATGACAGCAGGAGCTGTCTCTGTACTGTCCAGAGGGCTTCAGCACTCATTTGGTGTCTTCTAGAGGACACTCCTAGAAGCAGCAGATGCAGGAACTATGGATGGAATCAGCAATTCAAGAAATCGTCTATTTTATTTATCCCTGAGCCAAACAAAAAAACTCTCTTTCTAGAGTCAACCTGCAGATGATCACAGGCTGTGAATTTAGTCTCTATTCTACGTAAAATAATCAAAATAGAGCTTATAACGGCTTCATAAACAAGGGCTTTTTGATTTCTAACCCCACAGCTGCTATTACTAGAATGTGACGTGTGAATCTTCTGTCTATTAATCCCTGGACAATGCATGGCTTTGCAGTGAGGTGGCATTTGGCAGAGTGTGAATCAAACTGTCACTGATTTCCTCATCCTTTGTCTTCACGTTTAGGCTGTAAATGGCCGTGTTAAATAGGTGTGGACAATAAGTATGAAAAGCCACCTGAAGCAAACTGTGAAACAAAAGGCTCTGTGTTCTCAGATGATGAAGAGAACGATTCATTGGATTGTGCATCCATGAACAAAAGGCCCAAAAAGAAGGATCAACCCCTTGAGGTACTTCCATATTGTCAAGGCTCCTGCTTCTATGACATTCAATCTTCCAACTGAATGAACATCTCTCTTTGGTCTAAAAACACTGAGTCCAAACAATACATTTCTGCTTTTTCAGGGATGGGTCTTGCTATGGGTTCACTCACTTTTCTTCATGTGTAGATTTCCTGAAAGAAGTCTGAATTAGTGCCTGTGGAGCTAATAGTTATACAGAGCTTCAGAGTTGGATCTGAATTGCAAAACTTGGATCTAGCTCTAAACTATGTGCTAATGTGGAGGTATTTGGGTGAGAGGATTTGGATATCAACTGCTAGTTGATTTTTCATGTCTATAGAGAAAAAAATATTCTCACTCTCAAGGCAGGATAGTTATAGTGAAAACAGCCAGCACCCACAGCCAGAGCACGCACAGGTCAGGGCCCAGTCCCTCTCGCTTGAGTTCACACCTAGCCAAACCCAAACGAAACCAGCAGCAGTTCTTCCTTCATGACTTCGATAGGTTTTTGAATCAGGCACTGTCTTAACAAGTATGCTTTAAGCTGCTTCATGGAAACAGAAGATCTAAAGGATCTCACACTGTGGTTTGCCAAAAGCAATTTTAGCAACATTTTGTTGTGGAGGAAATAAAACCTCCATGGGAGATGATGTAGGCAAAGACTCCTTCCAGATCTGGGCAGGGAGGATGGAGCCACAGCCAGCAGCTCTCAGATCCGAGCCGGGAGATCTCCACCATGGGGGGAGCTGGGTTTGTTCCACCCACCCCTTGGCTCAGCGTGAGGCAACGGGAGTAGTGTGGGTTGGTGGGCAGTTGTATGTCCTTCTGGTGGGTTGTCCTACCTCTGGGGGTGTTACGGATGAGTGGAATGCACCTCACTCAAAAGAGAGAAGCAGCAGTATGTGGCTAGGTCCAATCTTAGTCTCAGACTTGGACAACAGTTTATGTCAGGTGGAATTATCTATATAATGTTTATAATAATTAATATTGAGTAACTACATGGATTAGTACTGTTTCATTAGTATTAATTCAGCATGCTGTCAGTCACTTACCAAGGATCTGTTGTGAGTAAGGTATCTCTCCACCTTGGTCAAGGAAAGATCTGTTAGTCTCAGGTAAGGGCTGTCAAACCTTGAGAGGCATCCCTGCTCAAGGGGAGAGTCACTTGGTGCGCAGTCCAGCTGCAGCTGAGGGAGAGCTCAAATTGGGCTCATCCTGATGGTAATGTTTATAGAGCGTAGTTGGCTGTTAGTCCATAGTATAGACAAGATAGATGTCTTCCTTTTAGCTCTGGTATCTTGTTCTGTACTTCGGTTATTGTGCATTTTTGGGCTTTGAAACCTCCTTTCGGAATATTTTTCCAAGGCACCTTCACTCCTTTGTACGTGAGCCAGGAGCTTTCCAGCTCGCAGGTTCACCACAGGGCATGACGCCTGTTGCTCCTTAACCCGAACCAAAGCTAGGGGTCAAGTGTATCCGTCACAGAGGCTCTCATGCAAAGCTGGGCTGCTCTTTTTACCGTGGAAAGGTGCAGCCTCTGAGGCTACTCTCAGAGCTGTCAGGTGACATCCCAGAGGAGACAGAGCTCTTCATTCCTGATTTTAGAGTTTTTACTGTGCAGATAATGGCTGCTTTGCTTTAAGAGCCATCTGGCTCCCCAAAGAGCAACCTTCTCCCATGCTGCAGGAGCTACTGCTCTAGTCTGGCTGTGTCCCAGGGCTCCTGGTTTACAGAGAGGGACTCTGAGCCAGCAGCTATGGAGTCGGGTGTGCTACAGGATCCCTGACTACCATACACAGCAGCCTTCTTCCTCAGTTTTTCTCCTCCAGCTGTGCCTTTCTGGATGCAGCTGTCCCATCCGGGTCTGTTGGGCTTTTGGGGTTTCATGGTGGGGACTTGGGGTAAGATTTCGGGCTTGGAAGATAGGGTGGGGTGTTGGATTAATCCCATCGCTGCAAGAAACTACCTTGGTTTATGGGCAAGCTGGAACAGATGGAGATTTAGATGGAGTCTAAACAAAACCTCGCTGCACTGCAGTTCTTTACCAATATGAATATTTATACCTTGCTGCACCACAGGAATGTAGAAACACAGCATGATCTTGGGTTTCAAAGTCCTGTAAAATAGAAATGACAAAGTCCTCACGAATGGTAAGACCCTGTCATAGTGTTAGAGGTAAATAGGTTGATGTTGAAGAAAATAAGGCTTTGGATATTTATGTAAATGGAGTAGAAGAGCTTACCAGGCCTTGCAGTGCTACATGAAGCTATGACAGGCCTCCACACTGAGAATTTGTGCTCCTCCGCAACATCTCGTAACCATTTCTTATTGTGAAGCTCACAAGACACAGTGCCATGTCAAAGCTCTTCTGAGAGAAGTAGGCACTGCAGATCAGGGTGGTGTTTTTTTTTTTTGTTTGGTAGTCTAATTTCTGTCTCATTCTGGGGAATGGGGTTAATCACAGTAAACCAGTTTCATGGAGTTGGTCTGGCTCTTCCTGGGCGTTCAGGACTTCTTTTTAAAGCTCTGCAAGGCAGAATTGCAATAGCTGGTTTCTGAAATAATTTCAATGGATTGTGTCTGGCCTGTCTCCCAAGTGAAAGGCTGATCTTTTGAAAGAGCTCTACCTTGTGAGAATTACAGGCCTGGTGTGTTTTACGCCTTCAGCTTTGTAACGCCACAATGAGCTGTACCCTCAGAGGGGCTGCGGCTGGGTAAGACAGACCAGGGCTGGCTTTCTGCCACCAGTTTGCTCTCGTGATCCAGGAGCTGCTGTAAATAGCACCAACTTGTCCGGTCTTTTTTGACCATTATGTTATTAGCAGTCTTTAGCCACACCTCTACGCAGGTGCCAGAGGGGAAAGTGTTGGTGTAACCTGGGTAAAGGACTACAGCAGGTTTCTTAAAGGAGTTAGTGCTCAGCTGGTCATTCATGAATGATCTTCAGGGCCAAGACCTGCTTCTCCACTACTTCATGCCTGGAATGGCATCATTGCCGCAGAGGTACCACAAAGATAGGTGAGTTTTAAGGAAAGAAAAAACACTTCTTATTATGCCACTGAAGTTTTCTCTTTTCTGCAGGCACCGCCTAGGATCCTTAGACCTCGCTTCAGGAAGAAAAGTACCTCGTCCTCTGCCACTGAAACAATGTGAGTGCAATGAGCCAATAGCACCAAGATCCACAGAATGTCTCTCTTCTGCCTTAAAGAGCTACTCATTAATAACGTAGGAAACAGCAGTGGGATGGATGTGCTTTGATGTACAGCATTTTAGACATGGCCTTTCCCTCTCCTCTCTCTCTCTCCTTCTGTTACACGCTTCTCGCGTTTGTCTGTGACGTGGGTCGGACAGTCTGGCAGGCACTGCAGGTTGAGTCCTCGTTTCGTTTGCAGAGTGTATGCCCACTCACGCTAATCCTGTAAAGCTGTACATTTACAATTCTCGTTTGTGTCTGCATAGCTCTCTCTCTGTGAATGCACAGTGGAAACAAAAATAATCGGTTGCTCATGATGATACATTGACAGTGTATTTATTTATGGCTTTATCATTAAAGTGGATTTGCAGAAACCATGGATTTCTCTTCCCTCTCTTCCTCTTCAAGACTGTGAATGATGTAATAAATGTCAAAGTACCTGGACTGTACAGAATGTCCAAGATTCATTAGCGAAAGCTGAGCTGCAACTCTCTTTCTCTTTCTGCAGTAAATCATGTGTATTCTGAGAAAATCATTGAGCTAAAAACCATAAAGACAGAACCACTTACAGAGGATGAGGAAGAGACGTGCAAGAGAAAAGTGGTTTCAACGATGTAAGGAAGGGGGAGTCTTAATTTTCATGAGCCTGAGCCAGGAGAGTATTGTGTGGAAAATGATGGCGGCTAGAAGAAGTATACCGTATCGCTTGTGCAAATGTTGTACTGCCAGTTTTAAAGTGTGAGCAAGCCAGGCTTGTACTAGCTGCAGCGACAGAAGTTAGAATTGCTTTAGTGACGCACTTCCAGGGGAAAACGCACCTTTCTCCCCGCCTGCCACAGTGTCAGTCCCAGCGCTCTGCTTTCCTGGGACGGTGCTGCTGTTTTGCTTGCACGAGCAGAGCAGAGCGCTGGGGCTGAGCTGCTTTTTGAAGCCTGGAGTTTCTCCTGTAGCATGGAGTTTGGTTAGAACCACGAGAACCAGATGGGGTGGTGTATTTGTACCATATATAAATGAGAAATATAAAAGAAGAGGAAAACGTGGTAGGGTTTGTGTATTTGTGCTTCAAGTTGGTGTCTCTTGTAAGTGTTGAGCATGTGAGATTCACACATAAGTTAATTATGTGACCCTTTGTGTTTGCTCTTGGACCTGTCATATTGACTAGAAAAACATTTAGCATTATGTAGAACGTGCCGTCACTGATGGATCAGTACACAGGCTTGATGATGAGTGGTACTGTTAATCTAGTTCAGGTGCAGCAGTCCGGGATGCCAACAGCCGGCTGGAGTGTATCAGGCTCAGAGATAATCTGAAGTGGCCTTTGAAACCTTTTCTCTGCCAGATATGCATCAATATTCCAGCTGTCCCTGTCTGATGGATCCCTGAGGCTTCCCACAGAGCTTCCTACATATGTGGGGAAGAGAGAAATAAATTATGTGCACGCACGAATGTTTATCTGACCTGGCTAGGAAGTGGAAAAAGCAAGCAGGTATTTCCTGTGTCTGCCACAACATTTGGCCTCATTACCTGAGAATTTTATTTCCCTTACATGTGCTAATTCAATCATATTTTGCAACGAGTAAAAAGGAAAAAGTCTTCAGAAAGTAAATTGAAACGATCCCAACAAACCTGTCTAAATAGCAGTTACAGAAGAGTCAGTCCTTGGAAGATACTCAGCAAAAGCTTTGAGGAGCTAAGCTTGTATGTTTTATTTTTAAGCAGCTTTAGAGTTTATTTGATTTCTTTTGGCAAACATTAAAAAGAAATAGAAAAACTGCCTGCAGTGTTAGCAGAAAATAAAATCCTGTTGCAAGCAACCTATGTTTCCCTGCTATGCAATGGGCTGCCATAAGATAAAAAAGCTGACAAGTTTGCACTCAGTTATGCCAAAAAACACAACAACGTAGAACTAAGTGATATCTGACAAATTCTGTTCTCAGACACGCTGTATTAACATTGATTCTCACCAAAATTACTAAACGTGTGTCTAATCTGCTGTTTTATGGTAAACTTGACTGTTTAGCATTTCTTAAGTGCTGAGGTGAAATTGTTGACAAGGGAGTTGCCTTATATCTCTCGAAACATTCACTGTATAAATGAGAAAAATAAACCTTTTCATATCTGGGGCAAAAATGCATTAATTTACCAACTGAGCTGTATATTTGTGTATAGCTAGACAAATGTGAATGCTTAACCACGTACACTTAGTGCTGTAGTGCTCTGTATACAGAAGAGAACAGTCATTTGCTTTTGATTCCTCATCTTCCACACACAGGTTGTTCACAGGCATTGCCCCAAGTCTGCCATTTCGCCCTTTGGCTCCTTGCAGTCTTTCAGAATAAACACCAGACACGAAGTCTTTTTGTTGCAGTTTTTCTCTTGAGCCTCTGCCAAGGAACAAGCCCGATTCAGCGAGTCGCCTTCCTGCGCTGGTGCCCACCCCTCCTAGCAAGAGAGCGTTTCAGGGCTTGAGCAAAGCAAGGCTGCGCGGATGGTGGCTTCTTAGGGACATGCTGACGGGGAGCAATTCTCAGCTTCCTCCCAGCTCAGGCTCTGAGGGTGCAAGCCAGCTAACTGCTTGCAGATTACTTCTCCTAAAAGCAAGCAGTCTTTCAGCTGATGGTTTAAAATAGCAACAGATCTGTCTTAAGTAAGAAAAACCCAGTTACAGGGGACTTTCAGGCTGCTGGCCTCTACAACCAGTTCTGTAGGGCGGGCAGGCACCTCCTGACTTCTCAGAGGTGGTCTAGAGAGCGTAACCCTGAAGGGAACAGGCCAGCCCTAGAAAATACAGCCTTTAACCAGCACAAGGCACAAGTGAAACATGCATTATTTAAGCAAGTAAATTGAGCCTGAGGGGAAGGAAACTGCAGCAGAAGATGGTCCATGGAAAACGGGCCTGTGAATTACCTCACCAATTCACCATAAATTCACCTCAAGAAGAGAATAAGCTTGAGCAAGTCAGTGCAGCCCTCCGTGCTTCCTTTCTTGCCTTAGAGCCCAGTGTCAGCACAGTTACAGCAGTTGCCAATTGCTGAATCAGGATCACATCAAATATAGACAAGATGGACTTCATGTGTATCACTGTCACCTTGGAATTAATCCCAGGCCAATCAAAATTGTGTACGTGCAAATCCATCATGGAAGGAAAGCAGAATCGGGTTATTCATTCCTGTCGAGAGGGAGAAAGCTGCTTGGAGAGACACGATGCTCCCTAGCCTCATGTGAACAACCTGCGGCCTCTGACTGCTCTCTGAAGTGTTCTCACGTAGCGACGAAACCCTTGTACTTGTGACCCAATGCTCGTTAATCACAGTCTCCTTTTTGCTGTTTGTTTCGGGTACCCGTTTTGCATCTAGCACCATCTTTGGAATAGCAGAGAACACTGTGTTGGGATTTGCGCTTAGAGAAACTGTTTAAGGATCATAATTGTGCCCTTCATGTGATTTTTTTCCTGTGATCAGTAGAAAGGATCTGTGATGAAATGGTACACTTAATGCCTCACATGGATGGCCATTACAACAGTATTCCAAAGGTTGATGTTTTGCTGGTTTTCTTATACTGCTTGATATACACCTTGAATAAAGTCTTAATCTTTTCTTTAAAAAAAACAAAACAAAACAAAACCTCTTTAGTCTGTTCAATGTATCTGGCAGGCCAGAATAATTACTTTGATCACTGTATTATTTTTATCTCAATTCTGGCTGACTGTATATAGATGTATTCACCAAGTGCTGCATGTCCTTCAGAAGTTCTTTCTGTATTATGAACTGGAAAAAAAAAATACAGCTACTGAACACTCTGAGTAACTAGTGAATTCATTGAAACACTACAGCCTTGCACAGCAAACTGTCTCTTGCGACACAGATGGCTCTGGATAACCAGGGACTACCTAGCTATCTGCTTAATAATGGGTTAATTATTAGTGAATATTCTGAAGCTACTGCTGGAAGCAGTTGCTCTTCATATGCTTGCTGGAGTATCAGCTTTGTAGAAAAACACCCCTCTGATCTAGCCCTTAGGGAAACCAGACGTGAGTTGCATTGTACGCTCCAAAAGGACCCTGCAATAAGTCCTTGGTTTCGTTCCGTAGATACATGTGATCAGAGATACACAGTGTGAGATATCATTAGGCTTCAAGAATAAAAACAAGAAAATACTCAGAATTGCCTGCTTGAGGATGTAGTGTAGGACCCAAAGAATATATTCTACTATGCAAAAACCAACACAGGATACAAAGTGTGAGTGAAATTTTAAAATCAGTTATAAAAACTGCATGTAGCCATGAAACACTGTTTTCTTCTATGCTTTCTAGTACAGAGACATGGCAACAGTTTATCTGGTACTGTGACAGGCAACAATACTGAAACGGACCCTGCTCTCCTTTCTCCCTTCCCCAAGGAGGCTCCATTCAGTGAACTACCAATAAGTATGGACACAGCAAAATATATCCCAGGGTTATTTAAACATGTTTCTTTTAAAAACTCTAAGATGAATAATTCAACATATTTAACTTCTAGTGATGTTTAGACTGTATTGATCCACGTTACATACAATCACAGGAAACCAACAGACATCAGAAGATACAAGTGACCAGCTTGATCTCTGCTAAGTAAAATACAAACTGCAGCTCAAGATAACCTTGAATATTCCTTTATTTTGGGCATTGATACCCATAATTTTGATCAGATGATACACATACATTTATTTAGAAAAGTAACAGGTATTACAGATTTACGTTCTAAAATTAAGACCGTACCACATGTACCACCACCTCTTTCGTACAGAAGTGCAAAAATGAAACCAAGATTTCTACACACGAAGATTTGTGCGATCATGATACTTCTGATAGGGATCATCAACATACCAATTTCTTCTTTTCCAGAAAGAAGTGGTCATTTTATCAAGGAGTTTACATTGCGTTCTAGTGCACAACACCAGCTCTCTCAAACGCTTCCTCTGGGCAGCTGACTTCTTCCACAGTTTCTTCTTATAACCAGCCTGTCAGAAGAAAATGCACAAAAGACTTTTAAGTGGGTCGCTACAAATACACATACACAGCAATACTGATAAGGAAACCAGGACAAATTCTTCACGTTCAGGAAGACGGGAGTCTCTCTACTGAGATTTTTTTAACTTCCATACTAGCTGCTGCCCTCTAACGGAAGGAAAACAAATTAGCCAAATAACACACTTGTAGTCTTACCTTTCTCCTAACCCAAAGGCCGTTGTGCAGCCGGAGAAACCTCTTGACGACAGCTTTCACGGTTTTCCTCTTTCCATTCCGTAAGCTACAGTAAGTGAGAGTCCTCGCTGGCTGTTGAAGTATACTTGGAAGTAGAGAGGTGACACTAAAACCCACCCCCAAAACAGGGGAAAAAATATTAGAAGAATGAAACATCTCTTTCTAAAAATGAGCACTGGCATTTTCACATAAAAAGAAATCAGAAGTGGCTGTGACTTGTTTGAAGGTTAACAAGACCTCATCTAACATTACAGCACACCACGTAATGTGCGTGTATGTATGAACGCTAACTGCAGTGCCGAACTCTAGCTGAAACTAATCTAAAAGTTATTATTCATAGAATCGTTCAGGTTGGAAAAGACCTTTAAGATCATTGAGTCCAACCGTTAACCCAGCACTGCCAAGCCCACCACAAAACCATGTCCCTAAGCACCTTATCTACATGTCTTTTAAATACCTCCAGGGACTGGTGACTCCACCACTTCCACACCGAAGAGCTTTTTTCATCTACTAAAAGCGGTGGTAAAACACTCAAGAGCAAACATTCAGCTGTTACTGGCGTTCAGAAATTACTTTTAGAATACTAATGATCAGTAAGAGAAACACTTCCGATTGCAACAAGGATATTTGTAACGCCTACGTCTGCAAATATATTCCATTCTACATCGTGCTTCAAACTTTATGCTTAACATAAGCGGCAGACTTAGGACTAAAACACAGACACCTCAGCTCCCGCAAAAGGCGGCCCAAGTTGCTTCTCGGACAAAGAGGTTTACAGAAACCTCCTTTTAAGCCTTCTTCCCAGAAAGAGCAGCGCAGACTGTACCTGCCGAGGACCGATGGGGTGCCTC